AATGCATTTTCATTGCTGAGTGGTGAGGAGTGGAAGAGTATCTGCCCAGAGTTTAAGTTTTCTGGTGGGACTGGCTCTTAGGTAGAAACGGGTAAGAGATTCCTGTAACTCACCCACTCCTGAGCGTTATTTCTTGTTGGTTCCCGGGAGTTTTCTGTACTGCCTTTGACTCGTTTTGTCTGGGTCAGCCCATTGAAGGCCTGTGGACGCTAGGGGAGACCCTGTTCATCTTTGAGGACACCACTACCATAACAGCCAATTTAATCAAGGTTCACAGAAAATTTTCTTTACAGTTTAATCCCTTCTGTGTATGTTGGATGCATACAAGAATGGACAGTATGAATTTGCCTGCTTAAGCAGTAATAGTGCCAGATAAATCAAACAATATCAGTGAGTATAAAGCCTTGGAAGTTAGGGATAGCAATAAGAGTGCACTATATATAAAAGCTTTAAATATTACTTAGTACTAATTAGGTCATCCTTTTTGTCTTAGTAGTTTTGTTAAATTTGCTTTTTAAAGGAGAATGAGTGAAAAAGTTATTTGCTTCGGTGGAATAGAGAAATGCCCAGCCACAGTAGGTTAGTTTCTTTGTTAAAATTTGTTTAATTGAAAGGAATAATTGAAGAGTGATTGTACTGAATTTTAAAAGTAAATGCACTTCAACTGGCATAGCTGTAGGAAGCCCTATTTTGGGGATATATTTTTGTTTGCATAGCTTTCGATTTGGATACAAACTGTTCAGCGTTGTGATTGGTTGAAATGTTTTTGGTAAAATTTGGGACAGTCACTCATGTCAAATTTACTTTTTCATGAATTATTGATCATGTCTTCTTGAATAATATTTGCAGTAGATCTTTAATTTGCTGCATCCTGCGTGTTCAGTCAGTTCAAAAACTGTTAAAAAAATAAATCTAGTGAAGTTTATGGAATTGCCAAGTACATTTTTAATTGTTTTAAATTTGTTGCAGTTTGTTAAATCAGGTAGTACAGATAATGGGAAACACTTTACACATATGTTTGTGTGTAAAAATGTGAAGAAATAGTGAAGTAGATTAAAGGATATGCACACCAAATTCCATTATAATAAAAGAAATTAGCTTTTTAAGTATGTCACAGTTTAGCACAACAATAATGCAATTGTAGTTTTTTCTCTTACAATTATCTTGCTTAAGGTACTTCATAATATTTCTGTTCTCCTCAAGGCAAGACTGTATTGTCTCAGAATTCAAAGAGGGAATAAAGATTCTTTTTGTGAATATGGGATTATATCTTTTACGTGTTTGTGATGATATAAATGACATTTTTTCTCTATATCAGTAATCGCATTAATTCTTTAAGATAGGAAATTTTTCATTACAATAGTCCCTGTGGTAGTTACTATAGAAAGAAATTAAATAGATTTTTCTTGTAAATATTTGTGGATTAATTCAGTATGCAAGGTATTCCAAGTGTCTAAACACTTTAAAAGGTGGGAAATTAAAACATGCACACAGAACTAGGAGTGGTCTTATTTTGTTAAAATTTTATCAGATAAAAAAAAAATCCCACTTAAAGGAGAATTGTTGAACTACTTAGCAATTGTGTCTTCAATATATGTAAGAATACCCTTGCAGTGTCATGCTGCAAATGAATTCATGAAATGAAAATACTGATTACATTAACATACAGTATTGTGATAGTACCCAATTGTAAATTGCAGTATGTAACCTTTAATACAAATATTTGTGTCAATCAAAATTGACCGATAGCTTAGTATACAGGGTTTAAAAGAAACCATTGTTTTTAATAAATAAGATGATGAGGCGGATGAGAACCAGTTTGAATTTGTTCCTTATCAGCATTTCCAGAAAAAAGGATATTGTCTCCAAAATACACGATAGGAAGGCTTTCCATTTCCCATTTGTGAACGAGTGAAGCCTTTAGAGGTTTTAATGTTTTATCCAAGGGTGAAAATAACTTCCTTTATATTCTAAAGAATGTAACACAAACTTGCCTACTCACTTTTTTGGGGGAAAGAACAAAAAAATTGAGGCAGTGTTACAAAGAAATCTATCTGTTGCTTTTCTTTATTAAAAAAACTATTTATTTTCTGCTCTTTTTCTTCATGCTGGAGAATTTTCTTTCACTGTGCTTTTGAACATCTTTTTGGCCATTTTTTTCAGCTATCACTTTTTAGTTTGATAACCTCTATCAGTTCCTTCCTTAGCCTTGTTAAGTTAGGAGCTGATTCAGTGGAGTGCTAAGTGCTCTAAATTTGCTCTGCAGTTCCCAGGAGGTGTTTGGTTTCTCACAGGACCACAGTTTAGATATTTTAACCAGAACACAGTAGAAAAAAGTAAAGAGAATAGACTCCTTTCTGTAAGTTACATACTGTGATTCAAAGAAGCTCCTACCTTTTTATAATTCTTACTGGACAACAGAAGACTTGTCCAAATGCCAGCCTCCTTCATTTAGGAGGAATTTAAATGTATTTGTATAATTCTAGCGATTACATAGGTGTGTGAACCTAAAAGAAACGTGTTGCATTTACCTAGTGTTCCTAAAGCCAAATTACCTATACAGATTTTCTCAGAAGAAAAGCCGAATGACTTTGGTTTTGATACCAAGGGAACATGAAAAACAGGCTGAAGGTTGTCTTTAAAAGGCGCAAGGCTACTGCACAAAGGGTTGCATTGCATTTTAAAGAACTAGTGCAGTTGCTGTTAAAAAGAATGAATTTATTTATGTTGTTGCAAGCACAAAGAGAGCTTAAATCCATGTACACAAAAAGCAATCAGGATTCTCTTTTGAATCTTAAATGCATCTCTAGAAAAATGAACAGAACAGAAAGAGAAAGGTGTGTTGAAAATCTCTTAGGAGATAGTTCCTTCTGCAGAACTGCAAATCTTCCTTGTTTCAAGTAATCTGTGGTAGTTTGTTGGAAAATTATTGGCAAAAAAAAATAGTTTGCTGCTGATTAAATATGTATTTATTGAAATACAGTTAAAAATCATCAGATGATTGATCTACTTATGCAGACCCTTAAAAGCAAGAAAATAAGTAAGGCACTTAAAATAGCATGCCATAACTCAACCCATTAATAGTACTTGTAATTGTACTGTAGCGCTGTACTTCTGCAAGAAAATACCTTCTATCTCCAAAGAATTAGGAAGTGGAATATGTGCATTAGATTACATACTTTACCTCCAGCCTTAGTAATATTAACATGCTCCATTAACAGGCTGCATGGTAGGTATTCTTGTTTTGCTCAGGGGTCAGTCATAATTGTGCTAGAAATTGCTGATCAAAGATTTTGCATGCCGAATGCTATTCTGTGGTTCCCCCCGTGTAATTTCCCTTCTGCACCTGAAAAGAGATGGTGGCAGCCCAGCATTTCCATGGTGGGGAGTGAGAACCGCTGAGGTACTGCCGTCAGGGGCATATGCTCAGTTCTCGCGCTGAAGGAACGGAGCCGCTGTCAGTAATTGAGGTAGATGGTTGTTCCCTGGCTTGTATAAACACTCTGTGTATATATAACCATCTTCAGGCTGGTTACCTTCTGCTTGAGGATCTGTGTTAGATGATGAAGAGATCTTGACTCTAAATCTCAATTGCATACAGAATTCTTTGTTTATACTTAATCTAAAATTTCTGTCCAGTCACCCATCCTCAAAAGTGATTATTTCCTAACTTTCCAGTCTTTTCCTTCTGTTATATCCATGAGACTGCCCCAAAGACTTAACAGAACGTAGCAGGGTAGACCGGGCTTCATCTCAGTTTGTCCTGTTTCACAGTCTGACTTTTAAAATAGATCAACCTGTTCTCACTATTCTTGTCTGTTCTTACTATTTAAATCCCAGTGCAACACACAGTTTCCAGAAGTAACTAAAATAATGTCTATGATTCCCCAAATCCTTATAGACAACACTCCAAGGACATTAATGTCAAACTCAGATAATTAAAATTTGTATCCAGCCAAGCTAATTAACCCATTAAAGCCAAAACGCATATGTGAGAATTTGTGTCACTTTGGCATTAGTACGTTGTCATGTCTTGTAAATCTGGCTTTGGTGGACTTCATTTCAACAATGAGATGTGTTCCCCAATTATTTTTTTCCTCTACCAGTGTGTATGTAGCAAGCAGAGGGCTGCTTCTTAAAAATGACTAATGTGTAAGGAAATCCAGTCAAGTCCTTTCAGACTAATAAGGGAGCTGGGAAAGAATATTCTAAATGTAAAGAAATCTTGCTGCCTGTAAATATTCAAAGGCAGCTGCACAGAGGAAATCTACATATCCTGGTTTCTGATTCAAATACCTTTTCCATTTGGTGGTCCCGGAAAACTAGTCCTGAGTCTCTGGCTTGTCTGTGGTGCTGAACTGTTTTTCCAAGTGGTTTAGCTGAGACATGTAAATAGGAACTACTCGGGTTCACCTGAAAGCCATGTCAGACTTTTCTCAGATTATTGGATGTGACAAAAGTTGGACAACAGCCTCTGGTTCAATCCGTCTTAAAAGGCTCTAAGAAGCTTAAACCACAGGGTAGTAAGAGGAGGAGACTATGGAGCCTCTCTCACTCCACTGCTATTTTTCTGAGGGTCTCAATGAATAAAAAACTTGTAGTTCGTAAAGTGATTTGTTTCTTGCTAGTTACAGTACATTTTAAAATTCAGTGAATGATGTCGGAAGCTTTTATGATGAACAGTGGCAAGTTTAAAACGTGAAGCCCCGAGCCTCCTCTGCAGGTCGGTGCAGGAGCCCTCTCCCAGGAGACCCCTTCTTCACCGAGGGGCCTGGCCACGGGCAGACCTCTCCTTGGCTGACCAGCAGCCCCGGCTTTCTGCTGGCCGGGCGGGCACAAGCGACCCAGCGGGCTGCCTGGGGACATGGGGACAGAGCGTCGTGGTAATCCTGGCTGTCCGCTGACGTGCTGTGTGGCCTGGGGCAAATCACTTAAACTGTCTGTTTCTTCATCTGTAAAATAGGAGAGAGTAATACTTACCTCCCTCGCAGGGCACTGGGCAGATTAGTTAATGCTTGTACAGCGTTTTAAACTAAACTGCCGTGTGTAACTGCTCGGTGTCTTTACCTAACGGAGCAAACCAGCGCGCTCCTGTCCGGAAGGCAGCGTCGCGAGCTGATGCTTCAGAAGCAGCGTAACCTAGATGGCTGTTGAACAATATTTAGATATACAGGCAATGACTGAGACACTCGTGGTGTTTAAGAAACAGCTGAGCATCACATTTACTATGAATGTAAAATAAAAGCCTGAGGAAAATTGGTCTCAAGCTAGACGTTTATGTATATTGAGACTACCTTCAAGAGCTGAGAGCACAGATGGGAGCATTTTGTATGAAAACTATTGCCACCTCTCTTTGATTTGGACTTTTGAGGGTGTGTTATACGCCGAAAAAAGCTGTGGACGATGTTGATAGGAATTAACTGAAGAATAAAAGCTGTGTGCGAGAGCTGATCGCTGCTGTGTCCGGTGGAGGATGAGGCGGTTCTGTGAGGGGAGCAGGACCCTGACTGCACATGGAAGGAGCTGTGTCCTCTGAAGGGGGTGTGTTGGCACCACTCGAGATGTCAGATGCTTTTTGGAAATAGTATTTCATCCAGTAGGAAATGCAAATGCAGAGCATTTTTCAGGGGAGAATCTTAAGCTATTTCTTAGAAACAGCTTAACTAATGGAGATGACTGCACATTTGACAAGTAGGACGTTGTTTGGTTTAAAAACCAATGCTTTGGAAATACCCCAGAAGTTTGAGCTGTGTCTTCGTGTTTCTTGTTGGAAAGGATGGACGTTTGCTTGAGTAGCCTTTTCTAAAATGCCTAATTTTCTTTCTAGACTACTTACTGCAAGTATTTTTAAAGAATTGTATTTGATGCACTGTAAAATATTAAGAGGAAAATCCCCATACAATACTGAATCTGTTAAAATTAGGGGAGTAATCTCACACGCTTGGTGGTAGTGTGTTTTGCCCTGGCTGTTCCATGCATAATTCCCTCCTGCGTGTGCAGAGGGGGAGGAGAGATCTGAATGTTTGTAGAAGTCCGAGTCAGTAAGTAGATTTTATTTTGTAAGTAAAACTACAAACTCATTTTGTCTACTTAAGTGCATTTTGCAGTAATTTTGTGTTCATTATATTTTCACACATCCTTATCTGAAAGGCCTATTGTTATAATAAATGAAATATCTGAAACATTTACAACTGCATACCCTAGCCAGAAAATTGTATGGGGAGTAGCTATATGTGTACTTAAAACTTTTTAGGATTAGCCTGTAGACCAGAGAGATACCTAATCAAGTACTAAAGTTAATGGGCAAAAGGAGAGTTAAATAAAAGAGTAAGAATGCTGAGAAAATACTTTTAAAATTGTTTTTCAACTAGAATATTTTGTGGTTAAATTTTCCCTCATTACATGTTCCTGTCTGTAAAATGGGAATAGCAGAGTGCTCTGCCATACTTGTATGTGGTGAAAACAAGAGATTTAATGTGCATGAGGGTTTTTTACATGCTACAGTACTGGTGATCATGTAAGTATCATAAATAGAAGCAATGCTGAGGAAAGAGCTGACTAGATTCATGCTTAAAAAAGTTCCTGGAGCATGACTTTGATGATCCTATAGTAGAGAGGATCTCTCTGCCTCCTTCATAGTATTGTATGAGACATCTTCTTCTTGTATTGCTTTAATGATTCCAAAAAAGAATTTTAAAATAGAAAATCAGCTTACTTCTTCACAAAGGCTTTTAGCTCCTTCAGGGTATATAGGACCAGTAGGTGCAAGGTCTTAGAGATCCTCTGTTGAAACTAATTTATGTAGTAAGTCTTCCCTCCTGAAAATTTGCATTTGTATTAGTTTTGAGTTGAACAAAGAGTGCAAGTCTATTAATATTATTAGTATAAGGCTTTAATTGTGCCCTCTTTCCCCCAATTCTTAAGTCTTAGCAAAGCTGTGTTTCCTTT